GTTTAAAAACGCTTAAGAGATTACAAAGAGAGTAGAGTGGAAAAAATTACTACAAGATCTTTTAGAAAAGCTGTATTAACTGTTCTTCATATCTATTTTATTTCAGAACACAGAATCATAGAATTGTTCAGGCTGGAAAATGCCTTTAAGACAATCAAGTCCAACCATTAACCCAGCACTGACAATTCCACCAACCATGTCCCTAAGTGCCTCATCTACTTATCTTTTAAATACCTCCAGGGATATCTCCAGAATCTCAGTGCATCCTATTGACCAATACTGTGCCTCTTTCACTTTATTGCTAGTTGGTATTCCCCCATACTAAACTTTACATGTGTGATGGGTATTCATCATGATTTCTTTATCTTCATGCACCCTACACCTACAGTGAATTACTCTGCTATCCCCAGAAAAACTAGACTTGGAATTCCTGCCCCATGAGCCTCCAAGGAACAACCAAGGAGGTTTTCTCTAACGGGGTGATGACAGGTGGCCCCATGAGATGAAGCAACTCACTCAGGTGGGCTCCAATGGGCAGCCTCTGGCCGCTGCTGCCTAAGGCACCACTTCCCATCTCCCACTGAACCCTGATAGTGGACTACAAAGATGCACAACTTGAACCATTGGAGAACCTGATGCCTCTGTCTGTCACTGCCATTCCTGAGTGTGAAAGGGCTGGTACAGGCAAGACACATGGTCTTTTCTCTGGGATTCTCAAGTTGCACCACCTTTTCCTCAATCCAAACTTCCTCAAACAATAAGAAGCAGTGATGCTCCAATAGGTTATCACAGTGCTCATGGCAAGCGACAAAGCTGAGCATTTGCTTATGCCTCATACTACTGTTTTCACTGTATTTTTACTGAATAAGAACAATCCCTCTGCCTTTTTTCCATACTGTTTGTGGTCTTAACAGAGTTGCTATGCAGCACAAACCTTTGATACAGAATAACTATGAAGGACATGGACAAAGACCAAGAAAGGATGGAAAGCACAATTTGTTAAAACTGAAACAATGAAATTGGACACAATATTTAGGTTTTGTAAAATTACATTTTACTAATTAAGTCTATTTTTTACATTTGTATCAGCTTGAATCAAGCAGTTTCTACATGAAGATATTTCATAATATTACCCTGAAGCACATGAAACTCTTTGGCCTTGTTAGAACTTGGTGTCAGCTGTGTCCAGGCACAAAAGAAGTTTATGAAAGAAGCAAATAGTAATTAGATGTCAGCAATGTGCAAAGGACAGTATACACAGGAAGAAAAACTTGAGTGCCCTGTATTTAGCAAAGCGATGTGGTAAAGGCAGACAAACCAACATCCCCAAATTGTTGTGGCAGATCTAGATTAATATATGGAAATAGGATCTGATTTTTCAGAAGTGAGTACTCCTCATTTGTGGGAGGTTTTATGTTGGATGTAACACATCATTAGCCACTTCTGCTTTCTGATATTTCTGATAGTTTATCCTAAGACTGATCGATTTCTCTCAGTTTAGGCTCTGAGTGCTTTAATACCTTTGGTCATGGATTTCATTATTTCTTCTTACTCTTCAGCAAGCAACTTAGTGTCAGCTACTGTATTCCACTAAGAAATCTGCAAAGGTACTTCTCTCAGATGGCAAGGCCACATAAAAACTCCCATTTCGCTTTGAATGATTTCCTTTTCACTAAAAATGTGCTTCTGCAAAAATGCACCATCAAACTTTATTAAAATCCTAAAGCCGAATTCTCCCACTAATTGCTTCAACATGTTGCCTAACTCATTTAGAGTGAAGTAGAACAAAGCCACTGAAGAATGGTTTATCTGCAGCTAAACAGTCTCTTCCTTACCCTTTATAGCCCACATTAGTCTACAGCTCATGCACCCTGGAAACAAAGATTTCTCCCAATAAACACTTGAAAAAAATCCCACCCAAAAAGTAAGTAAAAATAGAGAGTAGTCAAAAAATATATTTTGAGAGCTAATCTTCTCTAGAAATTCTGGAATAAACCTTTTCACATCTCATCATTATTGGGAGATATTGATTCAAATCTGTCTTGCACCACAAGAAGCATCTATTTTTTTTTTTGAGAGAAAGTTAAACAATTTCAACCCAGTAGTTATCTCTCTTCATTCTTAAGGATTTTGTCAACTTTTTACATGTCATTTGACTTGACATTTTTGAATTTTCCAATCTTTTTGACAGCTGAGACCTCTTTACCTGCATTTTGGTTAGACATTTAGCTAGATATTATAATCTAGATAGCTATAGAGGGACCCAAACCAAACAGAGCAAAATAAATCATCTTTTAAACAGTAACACGTGATAAATACTTTATAATTAAATTGCATTTCTTTTTAGAAATATTAACATCATGCCATGAATGCCTCACAGCATAGGACTTCACAGACTTTGTAGATTGTTAGTACTGCCATTCCAAACTTCATGTCATAGGTGGGAATAGTTTACACATGCTTTTGTTACTGAGAGGTTAAAGACATTGGCATGTGACCAAAGAGGAAGGGAAGAGATACCACAAACCATCTTGAACTCTTCACACAGTAATGTAAAGAAGTTACAGGTAGTGTATTCGATTTCTTCTGTAAATGTACTCCTGGTACAACCTGTGTCTGGAAACTGTTTCCTCCTTTCCAGCCAATACTATCTTTACCACAGCAGTCCCCAGCTGTTGCACAGCCCTCACACCCTCTTTCCCTTATTTCACCATATGCTGCTTTTCTCTTTACAAGCAACAAATTCTTCCTCTTGTGTCTCACTTTATTTCCTGGGACAAGTTCTGCTTATGAGCAGTTGTAAGTCTGTGCATTCCAAGGGGTATGTCATTATAGTGGAGTTCCCTGAATATCCAGGTCTGCTTACATGTAAATAAATTCAACAAGCAATCTGTGAGTGCAAAACCTGCAGGCCTTACGTTTTTGTATTCTAAATGTAAACTTGTCACAGAGTTTTAGGTTTTTTGTTCTACACTGGAAGCACTTTCAAGTTTAAAAAACGGGTAAAGTTCTTGGAGAACAGGGAAGTAACCAGCTAGAATAAAAATTGTACTTTCAATTTTATTAGGGTTTTGAACGACTGTGTATGACAGCCAAAGCAAGCAATTAAAGATCACCATCCAAATTATGTATTGTTACTGACTACCTTCTACAATAAAATTATAAAGAAAAAGAAACATCACATGAGCTCTAATAAATGTTTACATAGCAACCAAGTGCCTTTCCTAGTGACGACCAAAGAGTAACTTGCCACCTTCTTGAGCCAAGCGTGTGTCTTTCTTTCACTCCAAATACTGTTCAGGCATTTCAAAAAGTCATGTGAAGAACTGAAATACTCAACTCACACTTAAGAGAGATTTATTTACTACTTACAAAACCAAGGTTAGTATAATGATTTTGCAGAACTGCAGATGAAACATTTTTCCAACAATGTGACTTAAATGTTGATGCAGTAAAATAAGTGAGTCCCTTCCTCTTTCTGCAGGAAACCAAACCAGAATACTAAATTACTGACACTTAAATGTAAAATTCTACTTCTATGCATATAATAAACATCAGGACATTTCTGCAGTTCATTTATTTACAAAAGACACTAGATGTTGTGCCTGTATAGTATTTCTTTGATTTTCTGTTTCAAAGGAAAAAAACCCAAAGATACCTGATACTGAGGTATAATTAAAGAAGAATTTTTAAACCAGCATATATTAAGACATCTCAAATATTAGTTTAATTCAATTATTTTTGCACCTCTAACTTAAAAAGAAGTAAACTTGTTCTTTCAGCTAGAAATTTCTGTCACTCAAAATTACTAGAAGACAGACTAGCTATGGGAATATTAAGTATGATTTTGTGGTTTGGTGTTGATTTTTTTGCCCAAACTCTTTCTTTTGCTATATATAAAATACTCTCTTTCTGAGTAGTACAGAAGTATTAGCCAATATGAAAAGGGGTTGACCTTTTTTTTAAGTAATCAACTGTAAATATGAAGTATCAGTGAATTATTACATTCAAGTTGTATGTAAAGAATACGAGCAACATGCTACTGCCAAAAGGCATAGTGTGTAGAGTGCCTCCAGTCTTAGTGGTACAATAATTTGTTTTATTACTTTTCTGTACTTCCACCAAGATATAATGTTCCAAGCAAGTCCTTTATTAAATTTCTATTTCCCTTCCTAATACTTTCAAAGGCCTGCCAAGTACTCACCTTATTTGCATCCACCACAGGGGATGTGTACCTAAAGCAAGATTCCCAATACATTTTCAGGGAGGGAAGCAGAGAGTGCACATGTACGTCTTTGTTGCAGAATGGTGACCTTGCGTTTACATGTAAGTTTGGAAGGCAGATAGCTATGAACAGTCAAAGGAAACATAAACAACCTTGACAGGTTGTCCATGGCTTCGGGTTAAGCCAAAGCAAAAATGCTGAACATGACGTGATTTTGAATTAAACTATGGTTTCCCTCTAAGCATGTGAAAAAGTGAATCTCACGGAAGATTTGCAAATCAAGGCTACATTATGTGCTTGAAATGACAGTCCCAGGCGGATGAGCTGTGTACCATGCAGGGCTCCACAATGGGACCTCCAGACCCCGGGGTTTCTGAACAGGTTTGCACCTCCTGTTCCGCGCCCCGGTGAGGACCTGCTGCCCCTCGGCCGGCAAAAGGCGAAGAGCCGATAAACGCGCACATTGGACCGCTCTTTTAGCCCTTTTAAAGAAGGCACAAGCCGGCGTGTCCCGCAGCCCCCGCCGAGCACTGCCCGACAGCACCGCACCGCCCGCTCCCTGCCCCGACAGGGCGTAAGAAGCCCCGAGAGGCGGCAGCCGCCGGAGCCGGGGCTGTGGGGAGGATTTCTGAGGTCAGAAACTCTCCGAAGCGCTGCTTCCAGGTGTGGGCAGGGGTGAAAGGCGAAGGGCCCCACTGCGGTCCCCGGCCCCCGCCGCCCTCGGGGCCGCCCGCGGGCGGGGCGGGCGCTGCCCCGGGGGCACCGCTGAGGAGAACCGAAAGTGAAGGGAAGTCGTCGGGCGGCGGGGGATCCCCGGGGCCGCTGGAGGCGGCAGCGCCCCTGCCTGGCGGGAAAAGACACGTATGAGTGCTCGTGTGTGCGTCCCCCAGGTCCTCGGTCACGGTCCGTGACTTCGGGGCGCCGCCACGGAGCCCGTCCGGGCGCTGCCGCCCCGCCGCTCGTGCCCCGGGCAGGGCAGTCGCCGGCGATGCTGTGCTGCATGCCCGGCGTGGCTTTCGTCCCCGCTTTGCTCGTCAGCTGGTCCTCGGCCGCCTTCATCATCTCCTATGCGATCGCCGTGCTGGAGGGGCACGTCGAGCCCCTCGTCCCCTACATCAGGTGAGGCGGGAGCGCGGTGGGAGCGCTCGAGGAGCAGGGGGAGCTGCGTGTGTGTGTGTGTGCGTGTGTGTGTGTGTGACACACAGGTGGCGGTTCCGAGGGGTTCCCAGTCGGGTGTGGGATCCCCAGAGGAGGAGAGGCAGTGGTGGCAGGGCCTCCCCGCGATGGGGGCGCACGCTGTGCCCTCCCGGCACCCATCACACCTCCAGCGCCCGGGCCTTTCCAAGAGCCACAGGACCCAAAGGCTGGCAGACGCAGTGGAAAGGACCTGAAACAGTTTTCTACTGGAGCCAAAGTGTCCTGAAGGCCTGATCATAGCAAAACTTTACAATCAAGTGGTGGAAATGTAGCTTTGTTTGTATAACTCCAGAACTGGGCCAAAGTACACCAGATGATGACTTGAAACCCTATGATGGTTTTTGCAGTATGTGCATCCCCACAAACACGTGTATTTAAAATTTCAGCATAGGACCAATGAGTGTAAAAGACTTCCCAAGAGGTGGCTGGCATCTCTTTTCTAAAACCTTAGTCACTTAAGTGCAGTCCTGTATAAATCATTGCTTGTGATTTATGTTAACATTTAAATATAAATGATGAAATTGCTAGATTTTATCTCTTAATAGATTAAAGCTTAGCCAGATATCCAAGAGTGTTTCTGATATACAGAAGATCTAAACAAGATTTTAAAATACATCTTTCAAGATACATCTAGACCTAATTCCTTGAAAGACTTCATGGACATTCATAATTTCAGAAGACTGCTAACCTGATTGGCACATACAAGCAAATTTGATTGAAAATTAGGGTTTGTCATCATAGGCAAGTGCAAATGACACCACAGCCCACAAGAAAGCTGAGCTTCATTCAAATTGAGCCAAAGAAACTTGGGCCACATGCTTATGTTAGCAAAACTTTTTAAGATTATCTGCACAAATTTGGGCTCAGCTCTTGGAAAGCCTCGTTCTTGTACTTGAACAAATACCTTGTAATCAAGGCTCGTCCTTGATTACATACACAGTTTTACTGACACAAAAGCGCTTCTGATAAGTGTAATTTATCTATCATTAACCAAGGGAAAAACCCCCATTTGATATAACTGTTCATTCTCAGTATATGGTTTGTGCTCAGGAGGATTCTGAGGTCCTGTAGTGAGAAATTTGGCAAAATTACGTTTCTTATGTTAAGCCACGTCATAGAATAAAACATATGAGTAAACAGGATGTGTTTTTTTCTGTATAATTGTTTTCAGTTAAGTTTTTGACAGCCCAAGTATCTTAATTGTGTCATTCTTTTTAAAGAGATAGACCAAACCTTTAAGTCACAGCTCTATAACTCTGATAACTGTATTGCAGCTGCCATAGTTACATCAATCTAACGGAATAGATCACAGAAAAAAAATCATTCTTATACTTTAGTACGGAATCACAGTATATGTCAGTGTACCCTAAAAGAACCCAAACAAAGCAAAGACTTGAGAGGCTGCATCAGTGATAGCCAGTCACATTTCAGGCCCTCTGCATTTACTAGTAAAGTTTTTTAAAAGTCTTTTTTATTTTACATCCATTAAACACCACATTTGGATTAAAGATATACATTGGCTATTGTTGAAGAATCTGTAATAATTCTAAAGGCACATGGTGTAAGCATAAGATCTTTGTAGAGGTGCATTTGGCAGTAATATGATATTTCCTTTTAAGTACTTAGGCCAATAGTCATACCATAGTTCATATTTTATTTTGCAGGTCATTGCTTTAGCCAAAGAATCTGAGTCATGTGATTAAGAATGTGATTTAGTAAAGATTAGAATCATAAAAAAGAGGAAGAATGTTGCAACATATAAGTTGTGCAATATCTTAAAATGAGCTTTAAAAATTAAATAGAGCTCGTATGGGAAAATTCCAGTTACACAAAGGAGAAGAATATGGACAAACTTTAGTTCAACATTTCTATAATTCTTATATACGTTCCTCAAGTACCCTGTGTATGCCTTGAGGTAACTTATTAATTTTATTTGTTTACCATGTAACAGCTGTCACAGTGAGAGACCACGCCTGAATTTGTCATTGAAACTGCTAATGTCTCATCAAGTAAAGTCAATACATTTCTGGGTAGATAAAATGAACATGATTTTGTGTTTTCTAGCAGCTGAGTCCTAAAATTAGGTTATGGCCAAACTGTCATGTCAATGTCATGGCTAGGCTTCGCGAACGAAGATTTGGGAAGGCTCTATCCACATTTGTTACAGATGGCCAAACTAGTTCTTTTGCTAATATACTCAAAATCCAAACTAATTTGGATATGCTGGGGTGGCTGTTTCATGGTTTGAATTCTCAGTGAAAGCATAAAGGGAATTTTCCTAAAGGTATTTGCTATCAGGTATACCTCTGGATCAACAAGAATCCCTGTAGGGAGAATAGAATTTTCCTATTTTAAAAATTTGGGACTTAAAGTTTGGAGAGAAATAGTTTATGATGGCTATGTAGTAATTAGATGACGATGAGTCTTTTGGCCCTAAAATATTTATTACTTGTCTCCTCCACCTTCTTGTCTTTCCACTCTTCAGAATATTGTTTGGTTTTAGAATTCTATTGCATGAGATGGTGACACAAGTAGAGGATTCCTCATCTTTTCAGTGGTGGCAGAGCTCACCTATGCACCACTCCAAATAAGTGAGCACATTTTTGTTTCAAATATGCCATTTGCTTTTTGTCTTTTTCATAATAAGAAAGGGACTGTTACCCATACTTTTTTTTCTAATATTTTTTTTTCCATAGCAACAGACCAGAAGCAAAACGAAAATGAACCTAAGTCTTCATTTAGCTTCAGGGATTTTTCAGTGGAAAATATGACATTAAAAAGATTGTGTCCTTAAAAGTCCAGTGCAGTACTTTGTAAATAGATTGTAGATGTAATATAGTATTCTTGGTATGAAATTTCTTGAAAGCGTAGGTCTATTGAGTTTAAAAATCAACAATAGCAAAATTCACCTATAAAGCTTTAGCTTGAAAAAAGCTTTAATTAAAAAATGTAGACCAGTGCAATTTTAGGTTATTTGGATTGCTCTTATGGTGTGTTCCAAGAACTTCACATGGCTTTCTATGCATGTGCCAATTCCATTCTCTTCTCACCTAAAGTCCTTCAAAAGCTTTGAAGTGATTACAGTCCTGTACTTACCACAGAGCGGTTTCTGATTTGAAAAAGTCCTTGAAGATTGTCACAAGTGGCTGACTTTTTAAATGGAGTCCTTTGTCATATTAATGAAAACACTCCAGAAACACAAGGAAAAGATGTGAAGTTGAAGGTTAAAAAATGGGCTAAGTGAAACATGGATTAAAATGATTTTCAGATGTGTCAAACAAACAAACAAAAAAGAGTTAGTTTACTGTTTTCATCAATTCCACTATCAAAGAGGAACAACACTAGTACAAAGTACAAGCTGAAACAAGTCTTCAGAAAGCATTACAACAAGAACCAATCTAGTAAAAACAAATGTTTTAATTTTCTCTATTTTTTGCATCAGTTTTTCAGAGAAAAGGATCCTTCCTTTATCCTAAACTTCCTCCTATTGTTGGTAAATCATCTTAGCAACTGATTACACAAATCCTTCTGTACACAGAAGGGGTTTGAGAGCAAATATTAATTTCTAAAGAAAATCAAGTCTTTTGAGATAGTCATACTCTTCTGTCTTGAACTTAACGAAATTGTCAAAATCTTTAAGAATGATTGCTTAAGTAGAGATTGCTTTCTCTTTTGGATGTTGAGAGCACAAGCATTCATGCTGAGCAGCTGTCATTTTGGCTGCACTCAGCGGTAGGTTCAGAAGCTTAGCACTGAAACCTAATCCAGCCTCACTGTTGGAAAGAAGAATATTCATCTTCTTGAATCACATAAAACCCCCACATCTAGCTAGTACCTACTTGTCCCATCATACACAGAATCACAGAATCAGTTAGGTTGGAAAAGACCTCTGAGATCATCAAGTCCAACCTAGGACCAAACACCACCATATCAATTAGACCATGGCATGAGGTGCCACACCCAGGCTTTCCTTAAACACCTCTCAGGATGGTAGGATTCCACCACCTCCCTGGGCAGTCCATTCCAGTGTCTATCACCCTTTCCTCCTAATGTGCAACCTAAACCTCCCCTGGTGCAGCTTAAGACTATATCTTCTTGTCCTGTCGCTGGTTCCTTGGGAGAAGAGCCTGATCCCCACCTGGCTACAACCTCCTTTCAGGTAGTTGTAGAGAGTGATGAGGTCTCCCACGAGCCTCCTTTTCTCCAGGCTAAACAACACCAGCTCCCTCAGCTGCTCCTCCCTGTGCTCCAGACCCTTCACTTTGCTGCCCTTCTCTGGACACACTCCAACACTTCAATGTCTTTCTGGTAGTGAGGGGCCCAGAACTGGATGCAGCACTTGAGGTGTGACCTAACCAGTGCTGAGTACAGGGGGAGAATCACTTTCCCTTGTCCTGCTAGTCTGTATCAGAAATAGAGATATTTCTGATATGGGCCAGGATGCCATTGGCTTTCTTGGCCACCTGGGCACACTACTGGCTCATTTTCAGCTGCTGTTCACCAACAGCCCCAGATCCTTTTCCACTCAGCAGTTTTCCAGCTGCTCTTCCCCCAGCCTGTAGCACTGCATGGGGTTGTTGTGGCCACAGTGCAGGACCCAGCACTTGGTCTAATTGAACCTCATACAACTGGCCTCAGCCCATCAATCCAGCCTGTCCAGATCCCTTTGCAGAGCCTTCCTACCCTCCAGCAGGTTGACACTCCCACCCTCGGAGAACAGTTAAGTCTCAGAACCTTTGCTCAGTTTCCAATAAACTTTGACATTAACTGAATCCCTTACATGTTTACATTTCTGACGGTAGAGTTCATTGGGTGGCTCTGTTTACACACACATAACTGTGCCTCCTGGTGCTGCCCAGTAACTGAAAACTCAGCTCACACCCAAATTATGTAAAGATGTAAGAACCAGATGTTTTCTGTTGGCTTGACTGACAGAGCCTGATCAAATAGATATCAACTGATTGTATGTTGGACAAGAAAAAGTAGACATTGGACAAGAAAAATAGTGTAAAGAGGTGACAGCATCACAGTATTGTTCCTTCAACAGAGCACTCACCCTCTATAGAAGAGTCCTGCTTGAGGGAACTTGAGCCCACATACTCCCAGGCATATGTTCATCTTGTGAAGAAAGGACATTCTTTGGGGTGGGTGTTTGCACATATGTAGGGAAAAGAGAGAAAAGGATGCTGTGATCAAGGTGTTCCATTTTCTACACAACAAATATTTTGTATATGTGGTGTTTTTCATATATATATATCTATGCACATACATATGTATATAAATTCTGTAGATATTCTCACACTCATGCTCCCTCTTTCTATCCCAGTGAATTCCTAATTATCCACTATAAGGGTAAATTGCTTCAGCAGAAGAGACTTACAACACCTTAAGTGTAGACTACTCTTACATTAGCAAATTAAACCCCTCCTAGGAACATTCCTGGGCATTGGAACACAATTACTCTCATGGGGTAAGATCCTTTTAAGACAATGAGGAAATTAAGGCAAATTCTCTCACATCTTAAGATGTGAGATGCCATTAGATATGTTTTACTCTATCACAGTGTTAATTCAGTGGATAAAAGAAATGCCATTTCTAAAATGTCATTTATGTAATCATGTCATTCACGAACAAAGTATTGCTCTGTCACATCTCTGCATGTTGAATACAGAAAAGGAAGAAATACAGTTCAAATAGTATGCTCTCAAAATACACTTACTTTATGAAAAGAAAGATTCACTACTACGAATGGAGGCTACATGTTCAGCAGAAATGTTTAAATGCCCTATCCCCAAAACAGCAGTTCACACAAGTTATATTTTTCTTGGGATTTCATGTGTACATCTCATTTATGTTTCACAGATCTCAATTAACTCTTAATTTCTTTCTCTTCCTGCTTTAGTGACACTGGAACAAAACCTCCAGAAAGTGGTGTCTTTGGTTTTATGATTAATATTTCAGCTCTTTTAGGTATGTATAAAGTACTTGATTTGACCAGAATGAAGAAATGAGAATTAGCAAAAGCTGTCTGCTTACATTGCAGTCCATTCAGTATTCTGCAGAAAAACTACTCCACAGTCAAATGGTAGTGTCAGATAGATGTAAGTAATAGCCAGAGGGCCAGGTCCTTAGGATCAGTTAGTGCAGGCTTAGAGGCACTTATGTCTCTTAAGAGCACCTCATCAGTGCAAAGTAGTCAACACGGCTGGAAATAAAAGAGGAAGAAAGATGGTATAATTACTGTGCAAAAACTCTCTCTATGATATGGGGACACTTTAGTTTCTAATATGCTGCAGCAAAGGGAAGAACTGTGTTGAAGCAACACCTGGTTTTCTCCACAACATGCCTACTTCTCTACAAAATGACTGATGGGAATCAGGAAGTTTGACGTTTTCTATTCACTTCTAGGGGATGGAGGATCGATAGCTGTGTAGTCTACCATGGCCTTAAGGCAAAGTCAAAATCACATATTTTACCTTCTGTAAGGGCCTCATTCAATCACACTATCTTGACATCTTTCTTGTAACCTCTCAGTGCCTGGGCAAAGCTACCTGATGTATTTTTCCAACTGTAGATAGACTAAAACTATGTTCTGTGTTGTATGGAACTGTGGAATTCAGTCTACAGCTTATTATTTCCTCATGAACCACGACTTTCTTATCCAGTACAGGTGTTTGTCAGGAGTGAACTGCATATTGGGGTCACATATGTAGGACTGCAAAAATGAATTGATTCTACAGACCATCCATTGTAAGGAGATGTAGTTCTCATAAAAGACTGTGTGTCAGAGCAGAATAAAACCTCCCACTTCCAGCTTATAGTTCATCTCCCTGTGACATCTGTTCCTAATGCAGAATGGCAATACCTCTGCCCAAAACACTCAGGAGAATGGAATTCAAATTGGTGTTTTTCTTGAAGTGATGTACAGTTATTTCTAGATAGCAATAATGTGTGATGTTAAGACTAAGATAATGTTAAAGTTTTATCTAAAAGTAATATATCTGAAATTCACTACTTTTTTCTTCATCCCAGTAGATTTAAAAGCAATATTGGTTACTGTATTACGCTTATAATTTCATTCTGCATGCTCATTTGTTACAGGAAAAGATGTTTAAATGTAAGCAATACATGATCATTGAACAAAATGTGTATTTTTGGTTGGTTTTTTTTCAGGTGTAATTACAATGTACATCAGATATTTATTAATAGAGAAGCAAAATGAGTCATCGCGCTTTGTTAGGTCTTCGTGCAACATGTTTTCATTATGTATTGGATTGATGGGCTGTATTGGAATGGGCATAGTTGCAACTTTTCAGGTATGACCATAAATTTCATATCATAAATGAAACTAAAGTTGTTTTACAAGTTAAAATTTCAAATAGGTAAGAGTGATTAACACTATCCTAAGGTGGATAATTGTAAAATGAAGTAGGAATGCCTTTCTTGCTCTTGGCTTTATTCAGTGGCTTTAAAGAGACAGATTTGTTTTCTCCCCATATACTAGATTTTTTGCTTGTGCAGTTATGTCAGTAAGGGGTTTTCTGTGTGTTTGTCTTGTAAAAGGTCTGTACTATAAAACAACTTAATATGGATGCTTTTGCTGTAAATTTTTTACTATGAGAATTGGACTGTGAAAAGCTTTGCTATTCAGTTTGCTTCCAGTTAGGGAGTCAGACTAACTAAAATAAGTCAGACTAACAAATGCACTTGCATTTTTGCCTGAATGATGGCACACTCACTAGCAGAACTTTCTACAGAATAAACTAGACTTACCTGACAGGTGAGAACACTGAGCACAATATCAGCCTGTTGTTTTGAGTCTGTGGGAGATGGCATAACAACGTATTAAGTCTTTATTTATAGAGACATGTAGAATTACTGCTTACTTTGTCAGAAAGAATTTGACATCTCATTAAAAATCAAAATCCACTCCTCAGTGTCTGAAAGAAAATTCAATAGAGACAAAAAATACTAAACGGATTATTAATTTCACCTTTTCTAGTGAGGAAGTGTGTAATAGGGTAGATTCTGACACAAAGAAGTATTAGGAGAATTGCACTGAAAGCTTCAGCTTAGAATCAAGTAAAATCTAATTGGCAGGTAGTTTGAGACACTGCCTTTAAATCTGTGGAAACAGCTATATTATTTCTTTTAAAGGATGGCCTACCTTGGAACAGTTTGGTAAATACTGGTGTGCTCATACAGTGACCTGACAAGATACAGAGGAATTTAAAATAAAGACTGTCAGGGCTTCAGCAGCCAGTACAATTTTACATGTAATGGACATGGTATTTTCAGACAAAAACGCTGCCTTAGACTGATACCTTACCCTTTTTAGTTTTATATCCAGGCAGTATGTGTGGATTGCCAACACCGCAGGCACTGCAGTCAATTCTAAGCACACTGTTTTACTTTTAAAAGTCTGTACTCTTATTGATAAGATTTATATGTGGCACAAAAAAAAGTTAGATGATGGGGAACAGTGTTGCTTGACTGAAATAGAAAACAGACTCAGCTGCAATAAGAAAAAGACAAATTAAAGAATGCAAAATAATTGTGACAGTCAGGGAAGCAGAAACTTTGATGCTAATGTTCCCAAAGGGGTCCCTTGACAGTTATCTCATCTCTGTTTTCTCTCATTGCCAGTTTTAAACTTCTGCCTTACCTAATTTCTATTTTTTTCTGCTTTGACCTTGCTTTCCATGCTAAGTGCAGTTTGTAGAAAGGGTTCAGAACACAGTAAGGATCTAATCTCGCTAAGCATCTCCCTAGCTGATTTTTGAGCACGCTTACTTGCCCAGGAAGCTGCAAATGGTGGCTTGCAAGTCTTTAGTCTTTTAACTGTATAGTGTACAACCAGTGAACAGTACATTCCTATCCCCATTTAGCCATTTAGTAGAATAACTGAGACATGAAGAGGATGTGAGATTTCCTCAAGGTGATTGTTTCGGGTCAGGAGATCAAAGCAAAGCTGGAATTAGAAGTTATTTCTTTAGTATTCAGTCTAGTCCCTCTAATCACTGTGTCATGCAGGAAATTCATGTTCATGTGCACTACCTGTTAGTTTCTTAACACTCATTTTTCCCCAGCAGGTGAGTTCACATCATACCTGAGTACTGTAGTAGAGCTGATTGACACTACTGGGCATCAGTTCATTTTCTCTTTCTCCAGAGCAAAATACCTAGTCTGCTAAAAAGGCTTCAGTGTGAAATTATACTTGAAATATTTAAGGTTTGCTTTTATTTACTCAATTTAGTGCCACTTGTGGTGAGTCTTTTAAGTGGCATAATTAATTGTAAGGAAATTTTTTTCATCCTTTTTGCTTCAGGATGAGACAGGGTAGGTAGCATGGAGGTTTAATGGTATTGGTGTCTGAACACTTAGTAAAAGTGAAGAACAAGGTGGGACAAAACACTAAGAATGTGTCCCTTAAAAGCAAATGATTTTCTGAGAAAATAAGTAATGGTTGTGAATGTTTGTTCTCTGTTTTAAATAACACAATGCTTGAAATACAGAAATGAAAGACGGTGGAGGGTTAGCTTTAAGAAGATAATTGGATGTGGAAGGCAAAACCCTGTAGTCCTTAATGAACGAGGCAAAGTGAAATCCCAGGTCCTAGCAGCTCTGGTTTTGCTTGTTAGACATTACACATGATTAAAGAGTGATCTTCCTGCCTTTGCCTGGAAAACTTCGGAGGCTTACTGTACCACATGTAGCAACAGGTCTCAGCTTCTGTAGGGATTGGGCGTGATGGTCTTTTTAAAGGAAACTGTGACAGTTTGATAGGAGCAATCACGACAGCCATGTTAGCAAAGCTCTCTATATTGTGTATAGGGCCAAATGCAATGCTTGTTAAATGCTTTCCATACCAAATCCTGCCATTCCTGTATTTATGGGAGGCAAAAACTGGGACAGAGGAGAAGAAAATGCAAGTATAGATGAGCTGCCACTTAAATATCTATGTGAGGAACATGCTTTAAATTCTGGTAGAACTTAATACATCACAGAGAGATAGAAGGGAATGAGTATAAAGAAAAGCCTGGAGAAAAAGAATTTGAGAGACCATGTGAACATAACCACCATTACAAGACAAAGAAAACAGTGGCCTCCAGGCAGGAAAGATGTTAAGATATGTAGTGAAAGGGTATAGATATGTGTTCATGAATCAACAGATCTGTAGTAGGTCAGTTCATAGGTTCATAGTGCCTGTTTGGTTACGCTCTGGTGACAGAAAGGAGCTTTAAACATGACTTACCTGACTGATATTGGATTCCAATGTGCCATATCTTTGGTTTTGTAAAAGTTTTTGAAACATTTAGAATACAGTAATTTCTCTGGAATCTTAATCTCTATTGCTACTGGATATTCTACTTGTTTTTGTTATAAAGGAGAGAATTTTCCATAGGCAGGATATTACAAAAATATAGGCCACATATAGTGGGGTTTTTTTATATATAACTAATTTTCTCCTGACTTATTTCTTGGAGCCTTGTGATTGGCCACTGGAGGATGGGGGATGGAGCTATAGGAGTCACTAGTTAGAACAGCTCCCTTGAAATTTTACCAGTAGAGTTTGGCCACACAAATGCAGATTAGAATTTCAATATGGAGTTAAAATCTGTCAGGGTATGGGGAAGAAGTAAGTATAAGAACCTTTCAAGAAAAACACAAACCAGTTCCTGTTTGTGAAACATTAATTGGTATTAGAGCAACTGTTGAACTTTTACATGAACATGGGAAAGGACTGACCCAGTGGCTTTGGACACAGTTATTTACTTCTCTGAGCTACTCTTTTTCTATTTTCTTTTGTCTTCCCTGTTTGGAAAAGGGACTGTTTCCCATTCCTTGTGTGTGCCCAACACAATGTGGCTGCTGTCTCCTCACGCCTCATTGATTCCTACCACTACTCAGACAGTAGCAGCTAACCATTATGCTGATTCTTTTTCCAGGAGCTGGCTGTTCCCAGTGTCCATGACATAGGAGCTTTGGTGGCATTTGGCTCGGGTGTTGTATACATTACACTTCAGTCTATAATCTCTTACAAGTCCTGTCCACGATGGAACTCTTACTTTGTGTGTCACATAAGGATGGCTATATCTGCAATATCATGCATTGCTTTCATTCCCAGTATCCTTTATGGTGTGTCCCACAGTTTTCCCTTTATGCGTTCATGACTTTCCTTTTAAGTTAAAACACTGTTGATAAAGGATGAAAATGAAGTTACACTCTTTGCTTAGGGCTCTTTAATGCATATAATATAGCATGTTGAGACACCATTAATAGCATAAAGATGAGGTTTAGGGTCTTCTAAAAAGCTTTATCTCCTATTTCAGTGGTATATTTCAAACCAATGCCCCAGTGTTCTTCACAGGATCATACACTAATAAAGCTTCATTTGAAGGAGAGAAGGGAGAAAGGCCTGCAAAAGGGAGGCACTGCTTCTACAATGAACCAAACACACAGATGTATAAAATACAAGTGGCAAGATTTCCTTCAAGCCTAAGCAGGTGATTTTGATCATGTTGGTTGGTGCTAGTTTTCATTAGTTGTCTCCCCTAAAGACACACTCAACACACTTACTGGCTTTTCCCACGGCATGCTGAAATTTAGGGCCATCCCATTAGTTTCATTGGCTTTGGGTGATCTGCCAGTTGAAAACTGGTCACAGCAGATTCATCACATCAGTCAGCCAGATATAGCCTGGTTTTGGTTTCAGCAGGTGGGAAAGTGTTTTTAAAGATGCTCCCAGTTCCTGAGAGGAAGTTGTACAAATATATCAAGCACCTATTGTGGACCAGTGGAAACCAACATAGTTCCCCTTCCAGCAATGAAGGACTATGCTCCCACAGTTCTTGATCACAAATATGATTTAAGTTTTGGAGTGTCTCTCCTTATCATCTATATTTTGAAAGAACCAACAGAAATGTGTTTTGGTTGCTGCTACCAGTTACCTTGTAATAATGTGTTTCATTTACTTGTTTTCTTAATATCTTGTTTTGATATTCTGGTTGTTCAGGTTCTGCTATTTCACGGAAGGGGAAGATGGGGTGTTTTTTTTGTAAGCAAACATTTTCACTATTACTCACTAAAATTTTATGGTTTTCCTTCACACTGTTTTTCCCAGTGATTGTGTTTGCTTCTCAGGTTTCCATGACAAAAATTGATTGGACTCCAGGTGAAAAGGTAAAATCTTATTAGGTAGCCAACTCACCCTCTATCATATTATTTTGGAAATGCTGTTATATTTATCTAAAAGTGTCTAGCCCTAGAAACATTTTAGGGACTTTAAATAGTGCATTATCATGAACAGATTTGTGCAATGCTGGTTACTTTTTATTAGAAAAGTGTATGTGGCTTGGGTAAGGGAACTTACAACGGATGGTTCAGTCTTTAGAGAGTTAGATTTTCATTTTAACCAAGCATTTGAAACTTTCCCACTGTAAAAGAAAAAAAAAAGATATTCTGGAAATTAGTTGTTCTACTTCCTCAGTTTCTTGAAACTGAACTTTACACATGAAACTTAAATGGACCAATTTGATTCTGAAGTTTCTGAGGTTTTTTTACAACATTGGTTTTCTCAGCTTTTTTACCATTCTTTATTAAATAGTCTTTATTATTGCCATAAATATTTGGGGTCTGACCTGAAGCACACTTAAGTCAATATTAGGTATTTTAGTTGATTTCAGTGTTCTCAGAATGATAACTATGAAAAGTAATTTTTATTTTTGGTCAAATTGTGCCACAATGAAGTATTAAAAAACAGGTAAAATAATGCAGAGAGTGTATCCTACTTGATAAGCTTGATAAAAGCAAACTTGGCAGATGTATTTCAACCAAACAGTGGCAAGGCAGCCGTGAGATAAGTCTTTACAAGTTAGACAATCTTAGTAATACCTTGAGGTTTGGTTTGGTTTTTTTTTTTTTTACTTGAGATGCACTTACCATTCTGTAAAAAACAAAATCTGAATTGACTTTTATACAACAGGACATTAAAATGATGAGTCATAAATCTTATATTGAATTTACAGAAGGAAATGTCTATAGCATTCCATATGTATTCTGTTTAGCTGTTTTATTTGAAAATTTGTTTTATGTCTCATTCCATCAGGATTACACTTATCATTTTATGAGTGCAATCTGTGAATGGACGGTGGCCTTTGGTTTTATCTTCTTCTTTTTAACATTCATTAGAGATTTTCAGGTTGGTATCTACATATTTTAGCATTATTTAGTGACTAAGTGCTATGAATTGTATAACAAATGCAATTGAAAATTACCATTCTTTATGTCAGACAGATACACCAAAGCTATACAAAAACAAATTTTACCACTGTCAAAAATTATTTCTGTCTATGTAATGAGTATTTTTCCCCTCACTTTTAAAACATAAAATTCAGTTTAATAGTTAATTAGGTATCTGGTGTGGACAATTATTCAGTAAATTAATATATTCTACTTATTTACCAATCTTTTTGAGAAAGAGGCTCTCTGAAGTTGATGTAATAAAAAAATAAATGATGCAACTAAAACTGCATTTCTTTCTACCTGAGGTTTTTATATAATAATCCAGTGCATTTCAACAATGGATGTTTCCTTTCTTTTTAGATATTACACATCTTGCTTGACATTCCCTCACAGTCCAAAAAAATATCAATTTTTGGAAAATTTTTGACATAAAGACATTGTGGTTTGGGTAGCTGGATCTGGTGATGCTTCAAGCCTGAATTTAAGGAAGAGAAAATACTAGATTAGTTAAAAAAAACCACTTTTATATGACTTATGAAAGGCATGCCTTGAACTTACTTTCCCAAGCTTTGCCTCACCAGCTCTTGTTGCTTACTGAGAACTGCTGCTTTATACCACAGTCACAAAGATGAACTGACTCACTCGTAATCACTGTAGGGCTCATACCCCATATGTTGGTCTTTCATTTATAGCACTGCCTCACACAAGTCCCAGAAAATTGAAAACTAGATCCTAGTAAGTATGTGCATAAGTGTAGAATATGAGAACAAATTGGTGCTGTGATAAAGTGCTGGAAACCATATCCAGAATTTGTGGAGGTGGGAAGGGTGGAAAAATAATGAGAACCCTCTACGTCCTCTAGTGTAAAACCAAAGTTTGGCATCAGATCATGTAAAACTTTGTCATTAATTCACTTCCTTCTTCACTTCAGCATGGAAGTAGTTAATACCTCTATATAATATGTACATAGCTTTGTACAGAAATCAATTTGCAACCAAGGATTCAGAGTTGACATATATTTTACTAACCAACAGCAAACATTTCTATGTCTGTTTAGTTTTGACTTAGTACTGAATAGACCATGGCTGTAGGGCTTTTCCTTATTAAATAATAATAAAATCCCCCAGGCTCAGCAGAAAAAAGCACTTCATTTTTTTAAAAAAGTACTTGTTCAAAATTACACAACACATTATCTTAAAGGTATATAATTGCCTTCTAAAAGTGACGGAATTATTGAAGTACCATTCAGAAATGCATGCATCATTTAATGCTCCATTTTGTGGGGAGATGTTTATTGCTAGTCCATCACTCTGATGCCTGCATATATGATGGCATCTCTTTTATCAAAGATAAAAGACTCTTCCCTTGGAGATGGATATTAACAGGACAATGCTGTAGTCCTCAGAATACCTATTAGCAAGTTTTAGTTGATAATTTTACTTCTGATCATGGTGTTAAACATTCAAAGTTTAACTATATATAAATATTGTGAACATAATAAATAGGACAAAATGATGGAATTAAGAAATATAAGAAAAATTAAGAAAAATCATCCCCTTTTCAAAAAAAATTTCCTATGGGATGTATTTCACTTAAACACTTTTTTCTTTTGTTTTGTTTTATCTCCATGTACATTAGATTGCAGAACTGTAAAATTAATTTATCTTAAGCTGATCTTGTTTTATTTTTTTTTAGAGATTTTCTTTGAGGATATCAACAGAAATACATGAAGACTCCTGGTAGTGAAAAGTAAAAATATTTTATATCTATGAATATTCTAGGTTTCTTTTTACTCATAGAAAGTGTTGCAGAGGGACAGGGATTGATAAATTGCATTAAGAACCCATGCCATTAACTCTGCAACATCTGTAACAGCATCCACTAAAAGACTTTAAAAACAACAATGTTCCTGCTGCCTTTTTGTAATATTTTGTAATTTTTATACAGTTTGTTATATTAAAAATACTGTAATAGAAGCAATCCCTAGAAGCACTGCAAAGTCATTCAAGGACTTGATCTCCTCAGATCTTCCCTTTTGGACATATCCATCCTTTATAATTTGCTGTAGTCTAATTAGTAACGTTACTTTTAAACTGGAGAAAGTACATTTTGCAAACAGTTAGGAAAGTCTAAAGGCAATGGAAATCACTAAGGCTGAATTCCTACTCTGTCAAGTTGCAAGAGCTATGGAAGATGTTGAGAGCAGAATTGGGCATCTTTGTTTCAAGACCAGAAATTTAAAGTTAGTAGGTGGTAACACTATGCTACATGTTTCTGATAGTGGGCATTGTATACAAATACAAATGCTAGGAGAAGTTTAAACTATATTGCTTGAAAAGGTGTTTTCTGATCATCACTGCAATATGTAAACATTTACCCCTTTTTCCCTTTTATGCACTGCTGGCCATAGGAAACTTAAAACTAAAGTGGGAATAGAATGTAAATTTACATTTATGCATGCCATAGTAAAGAGAAATCTTACTGCAATTTGGTTAGCACAAAGCAGAAATTTCCAGCCTGTATTTTAACCTGCAATGATGGAATGAAGAAGGTCTCCAAAAAGTCTTTGGAAATGAATGGAAAACAAGTAGTTTTCAGGCGTTTGGTCCTATGTGTATGAGTATTATATATATAAAACTGAAGGAAAAAAAAACCCTAAAGAGCAACTGTAGTGAAGGTATGGCATATTTGCTGCTATAGACTTACTTCTGTAATGAAAAACTGGGAAAGGATCTAATTGTGGAGTCAGATGTTACAGGTATCTGCAGGCAAAAAGTTATTTTGTTGACTGATCTGCTACCTCCACTCAGTGCATTAGCCACTTGGCTGTCAGTTCAGTTCTCTGAAAGTTACATTTGCCATGCTCTATCACAGTTTATGCAGAAATATTGATGATTTTCAGTTGCTAATTTTCCACCAAATAAAACGAATGCCTGTTTTGGACGGTGATGTTTTAAGATTAGTCATATGTTGATATTTCCTTTAATGTGTATTTTAAACTGTATTAAATTCAGCTGCTTCACAACATGAAGAGTCAATGTTTTCTTTATAAGTTCTTCCAAATAAAAAGAGTAAAAATGTTTTTCATTGGCAGATTTACTTTCCATAGTAATCAGGTTATCTTTCAGAGGTTTATAGCTACAATCAAATTCAAATTCAAACCTAGTGCTGACTAAATAAAGCACCTATGTCTTGCTGATTAAGTATCCTGCAAGGGACACACATTCTTTCAAGAGAAGATCAGAAATACTCAAAAGAAAATTTATATCAACCATAAAAATTAACATCCTGTTATTTTGAAGGCCATGTTACGAAAAGACAAAATTTCTTACTACACTGTGTATTGTTCTTCTATTGTTTTTTATTCCTAGATTTTGTAAACTAAATTATAAGAAGCTTAAAATTTTTATTGCAAATGATAACCAACCTTTACAGTGATTACAGTATCCTAAAGGGGGGAAAAAATGTTCAGGCTGAATCAAGATAATCTTGTTTGCTGAAATCAATGTGTTAATTCAAGTACTGAAGAACTACTGAATGAAGTACACATGGTGTAACTCTTGGGGATAGTCCTGTGCAGGGCCAGGAGCTGGACTCGATGATCCTTGTGGGTCCCTTCCAACTCGGCATATTCTGGGATTCTGTGAAATCTTTCACCTTTTTCTGAGCTTTATCATGATACATTTTAATGAGAGATATAGTCATGACCAAAAGAATACATTGTCAACTGTGTACCTTTTATTAAATTTGTTAGGCCAAAAACATCAGCATGCATCGACATGCAGATAAAGACAATGGATTATTTCCTTTTTATTTGTGCAGTGAACAACTGTTGAAAACACTGTGATTATTCTCTGGCTCCAGGTAGATTTTCAGTCAAGAGCTTAATTACTTTTTCAGTTGAAATGGGAGTTGACAAGTTGCAAGCAATTGAAAAAAACTATTATTCTAGCAAGGTGTACTATTTTAGCTGTGGCTGACTCTTGTTAGTTAGTACACTTTCATTTTTTTAAGCAAGTGATCTCTACAGGTTAGTGTGGATAATGTCACATAAATTTCTGTTGCCTTTTCTTTATTTTCCCACTTCTTAGCAACAATAAATAACTATTTTTTCTTGGAACCTATACTAGAAATATTTTCATCATCTGCTCTGCATGATGTTTTCTATTTATCAGCCCATCAGCAGTGATTGAGAAATTCCTTTTGCGTAAACTACAGTAAATCACATGACAGTTGCTGTTATTTTTAGTGGTTATGTTAAACCATTCTATCCCTTCCAAAAGTGCAGAGGCTCATTTTTCTAGGTTGTGCAGCTTGATCTGCGGATGAAATGCCACTGGTGTGGTCTCTGTAACAGTTCCAGATCATGTCATGTAAGGATGAAACTCAATCAACTCAAAATACCTAAAACCAGTTTTGTCTTAGGACACTGTTACTGGCACTGCTTTCCCTTCCTATGTGCACTAAGCCAGTGATCACCATATATTGCACCTTTGGCTTTTCTCATGAGGTCTTCTGAATTTTAGTTTCTGATCTGCTCGGTTTGCACACTGCCTTGTGTGCGACAGCAGCATATATTTGACAGTAGTAAAATAATCTTGATGGCAGGGGATTTGCTACTTTGTCCTAATACTTGTTGCAAAAGTTTCAAGTGGAACAGAGTGATTATGGTAACATGTCAGTGAATTTTTGACATTCTGGTCTGAAGTTTGTAAAGACATTCAAGAGCTTGGTATTTTAAACTGCTCTGTAAATACAGTCTTAGTCTCAATATTGATACCACGTTTTCACAAGTGTTCAGGTTTTAGAGGGCCTGCTTGAAGATGGCAGAGTGTTTGGGGTTGGTGAACTGTTCCTAGCGGTTTGCAATGTCCACTAGAAATATTCTCTCTGGAAGAAGCTGGAAGAGCTGTTCTCCTCCAAGAAACAGTGAAAGGCAGCATTTTAAGAAGGGATAATGTATATTTCCTTGGAAGATGAGCTAAGGTCCCTTTATTTGGGAGAAATTCAACATAATGTAGGGAAGTAACAATAGGTTTTAATTTATAAGATCTCTGAAGCTTTGACTAAACCCATCACAGTTGGATCCGTCTTTCACTGCATTTCTGTGCATGTGCATGTGCTCATATGGTCAACACATGCATATATATACAGTATTGGCATGATGAAGCCTGACAGTGGTTAGAGTCCTGTATGTTGCTGAAATACACATAAATAATAATACTTGGTGTATTTTATAAATAACAGAAGGGCTTTAATGACTTTGGCTACATTTTTTTAATTGGTATGGTTATGCAGAAAGAGCATTTCTCAAATCTTAAGGAGAAAATAGGCAACTCCTACACATGGTATCTGTAGTTTTCCCTGTACACAATAGATGGCACTAGGAGACCACATGATCCGGGTTTATTTCCCACGTTCAGGCTGGCAAGTCCAATAGTTTTGTAGGTAGCTTTAATTGATTTTAATAGTCGTCTGGAGGCCCAGTTAAATGATTTTTTTATTGTGCCTTTGTGGAAAACAAGTCAGATCTAAGTTTCCTTGCCATTCCTTCCTGCCTTCGTCTAAGTAAATATGTTTTGCTACTGCAACATGTAGTTTCATAGCAACTTCAATTTCAATTTAATTTGTCTAAGTCAAAGGAGCCACTTGCTGCAGTTAGCACTGGTGCAAGCTGCAATCCAGCTGTCATTATTAAGCCACTTCTCTTGGGAAGTTTTTCCTACTCTATTACAAAGAAGGAGCATTTTATTCAGTGCTTTAGTAGAATTCAGTCAGTTTGCAATGGAGCATCAGAAGACAATATAGACCTTATTTTCATGGGACAACAGTATAAAAAGAACAAGATTTTAACATTTCAAAATTGCAGCCAGTCTGCACCCAGAAAGAATGATGTGTCAGGTTGTAAAAAAAATTCAAAGGCAGCTGCTGTATCTATTTAAAATGCACTTTTGTGTATGTATGATGCCTTTTTTTTACTTATTTCCTTGCCTAATGAAACATTTAGTTAGCATTTTTTGCATGTCCTCTGTGAAGTGTAGCAATAATCCAGGCCTCTGAACATTATTTCACCTGCAATGATATAAGCTCAGCATTGTCAGTCTTAAATAAACCACACTGAGCATGGATAATCCTCTACAAACTCACATCAAATTGTTGTATGGATAAAAAAAAGTATAGAAAGCGCTCTGACAAAGTAAGAATATGTCATTATTATAGACATCTTTAACACTGTAGAATCTTCTTAGTCCACAACAAGTCCTCTCCCAACACACACTCATAATTTTATTCATTGTAAATAGAAGGTACATTTCAAAGAAAGTTTCTCTGATGAATATCTAGACTTTCATCATAAGATCTGCAGGAACAATCTCTGTAGCCCTACTTTTATTAGGGCTATTAGCAGCTGATGGATCTCCATGCAGTTATCTTTCCTGCCTTTCAAACTGCATCAAGTGACTGAAACACATTAGATAGTTTGCATGGAGTTTTTTCTTTTGGTTTGAATTATTCGAGAGCATTTTGCTACGGCAATGGCAAGAAGAAGAGTGCTGGCAGCACAGACTAACATCACCTTGGTAAGATGGTCACAGCAAATGTCACTAAAATTTGCAATGTCATGGACAGAAAGAGGTTGGTATGAGAAGATCATGTCTGCTATAAGGGTCTTGGTTTGTGTTGTTTGGCAAAAGTGGAAACCATGCAAAAAGTCAATAGCTTAAAGTTAATTTGAAAGGTCTTGTGGAAGATTAGGGAAATTCTAACCAGGAAAAAGGAAATAATACTGTTAAAGAGATATA